AGGCTCATGTTCGCTACCGATGGCATGCTGAAACGGCGTCGCTTTGCTAGTGTCACCCCTTGCTTCTCTAGTGTCATAAAAATCGAGTCGGCTTCGCGACAACAGACGTCACGACACTCGGCGTCGATTTGCCTGTGTCTTGTTTTTTACCTTTATTAAGCTCATGAATGCTGTATGTTGCATCCTTGGTCGACGTCTCCAAGCTCGGAGTTGGTTTGTGTGTATCCTGTCCTCTCAAGTCTCGATGATCCTCTTGATCTGGCTTGGAAGTCGGCGTTGCGACAGTAGGTGTCGCAACGCTTAGCGCCGGTTCGAAAATGTCGTGTCTTAGGGCATCCCAATGCTCATCTACTCTACATACACGGACTCACTCGTCTTCGTTGGTTTATCAGCCTCGTGTCTTGTGACATTCATAGGTTCATCTGCGCAAAAGACGGCATCATGTGTCGGGATGACGAGTATCGTTGGACCTCTCCTCGTGTATTCGTATGAGTCACGATGTCCTCCCGAGTGTCAGGTATCGCTGAATATTATAGAAAAAATTATCCCTAAACCCAAAACTTTCACCAATACTTGAACCCAGTAGAGTTATCGGGTTTGTAACATTAAATCCTGTAATCTCCTCTGGGAAACGAACAAATCTCCGCTTGGCGAGCTTCTTCTCTTGTGCTTAGATTCGGTGTACATAAAAATTCCTCTTCAGGACTCTAAAATAAATAAATAAATAAATAAATCCGTGGCGTAACAGCCCTCTGAGAGCCAAAGCCGACTAGCTGGCTGCTGGCCTCACGTTCACATGCCTAAGGAGAGGTGAACGATCTTCCAACCAGATATAGGGTGACGTGTGGTCAGCATGACGAACCCCCAGCCACTGCTAGTTTTCCGTCAGAACTCGAACCTAGGATAAATTTCAGTGTTGTGGAGGTGGTTTCTATAATATGCTCTTCGACTTTGGTCTTCACTGGGAATCGAACCCGGGATAATTTTCGGGGCCTGGTCTTGGTTTCTGCAATCTCCTCTTTGAAACAAACGACTTTACTCTACGTGCGACTCTTTTATCGTGCTTTGTTTCCTAGTTACGGGAAACACCCTCAGAGAGAATCGAACTCAGAATACTTTTGTTTTCCGAAGTTTTGACCCTTATGTAATCTCTTCACTGTCTCAAAAAATACGCACACCAAGTTTGGTGCAAATCGGCTAGTTCGTTCTAGAGCTATAAGGAAACAAGCACATAAACCTATTATTTCAACGTGTCATGAAAGGTTCTTTATTCTAGTTTCGACTTTAAGTTTAAATTCAGTTTGAGATTATCCTTAGAAGCGGGACGAGGGCGTTTTTCGACCATTTCTTAAATTAAATCAGGTAAGGCGTTAGTAGAGTTACAGATGAATTACCCTACCTTGTGTCTGTGATGCGCTGTGGGAGCTCCATGATCCCTTGTACGATGTGTCTGGAAACAGAAAACAAAGATAATTAGAAAAGTGTCTGTTACTTCTATGTGACAGGTTTCTAAATTGTTCATTGTTTAGTTCCGAAAGCAGGAAATTCTTAACGCCATAATGATAAATTTTGTCTACACAGCATTTAAAAATTCTGGTAGCACTGCCCAGAAAACATACCTCACAAAGATTAGGAAAATCATAGCTTATTCTGTGAACGAAACGAGATAACCTCTTCTGGGATGTTACGGCATGTAGTTTCGTGAAAGTTTACCGAAGTTTCAGAGGTGATCATCGCCCTTATGATGGAGAAACAAGCGTCTCTGATATTTTATTCAAGACAACCATAAAATGAACAGAAGAAGTTCATAAGCTCACATTTTTAAGTTATAACATAAGGTAAACTGGAGCAAACTGGAAGAGATGATACATTTAATATTAAATTAATAAGCGGAGCGCATATAAAATTCCGCAATAATTCTATAATGAATTTAAACATAATTAATATCTGCTGTACCACAATTTATAAACTGGCCTGTCTTTAAAGGCAATGAATTTGCAATTTGGAGGAATGTGCTTTGTGTTGAGATAATAACAAACACGTGTATTTAAGAAATTTAGTAAGGGCGGACGGCAAGAAATTAAAAAAAAAGAAAACATAACGAACCATTCAAACGTATACGTGGAACAGTTTAAACACTTTGGGGGAAAAATTTCCAGAACTGCGAATTTGAAATTGTACAAAATATTAGGAAATCCGGCGATAAAATCAAAAGACAGACAAGGATATAGGGTACAGAGGCGGAAAATGTCAAATTTAATTCCTTAGTTGGATAGATCTATATACAGTTAGATAAAACAAACAACACTAAATTGCACGAGAAACTTGTGGTTGATAGCACACTTCAAGAGACTAGCATACTAACTATATGATGAGGTGGAAAGGTCATGTAGATGGACTGGGTGAAGGCAAGTGGCCGACAGTAGGACGGAATTATAAACGCATAAATAGAAGGAAAATTGGAAAAACAAATATTAACAGACGCTGAAAATAGGACAATTGAGGCCGGTACAGGTGTTAAGGTGGTTAAAATT